CCCACACGCAACAATAGCTCATGGGTACCACAGATAACTTTGCCAAAGTTCTCTGCCAAAGTTGAGCACGTGAAGCTTGCAGCTCCCACTACATCGCTCTGACCAAGAAAGGTAAAAGAATAGCAAAGAAACAGCACTAACAAAGTTTAGACACATAAATTTTGAAGGTCTAGCTACCATATTTATTACCCACAAGGGTAAAGGAACAGTACCACTGCTGGATAATTGGAAAGTCCCTGTGTGTCAACCTCTGTGCTTCGTGGCAAGGTAGACTAGCAAACATGCCCAACCTTTACTCACATTCGAGAAAACACTCCCAACAAGATTGCTTGCTCCAAAATCGAAGAGGCACCGTCCTCCGAATCTCGAGAGCCAGACTCCCAACATGACTACTTTCTCAAAATCGAAGAGAGGGTAAAGGAACAGTACCATTGCTGGATAATTGGAAAGTCCCTGTGTGTCAACCTTTGTGCTTCGTGGCAAGGTAGACTAGCAAACATGCCCAACCTTTACTCACATTCGAGACAACACTCCCAACAAGATTGCTTGCTCCAAAATCGAAGAGGCACCGCCCTCCGAATCTCGAGAGCCAGACTCCCAACATGATTACTTCCTCAAAAATCGAAGAGACACTGCTCTCCGAATCTCGAGAGCCAGACCCCCAGCATGATTGCTTTCTCAAAAATCGAAGAGGCATCGTTCTCCGAATCTCGAGAGCCAGATACCACAGACCACTTTTTCAAAGTGCTCTGACAGAGTTAAAAACATGTGAAACTGGCAGCTCCCACTACCGTGCTATGACCAAGCAGGGTAAAGGAATAGCATTACTACTTGTTGTTAGGGAGACTCCTATATATGTCGACCTCCATCCCCAACGGACAGGCAGACCTGCAAAAATGCTCAACCCTTCATCATATCTGAGAGGGCACTCCCAACGAAGCCTTTCGAAATATTCAGCTTTCTTTCCCCCCGATAATACCTCTGCAAACAAGCTATACTAGAGCAAGAATATCTCATATCATCAGGGTTAAAAGCAAGAGTATCCCATATCATGCTTTTTCCCTGTCTTTTCCTTTGGCCTTGTTTTTACCTGCAAGACAAGGAGAAAGAGAGCAATCAGTCAGCACTTGGAATCAAGCTTCCAGCCAGGAACTGACTGCCTGGAACCCCTTACCTGATTACTTACCTGGCATTGCTCTCGAGTACTCATCTTCAACATCTTATGTTTCCAGGGAAGATTCCGCATCTGCTTGAGGAACAGATAGGGCAAGTGCGAAGGATACAAGGAAGCATGTGGAGACAAGCGTAACAGCACACGTGCCGATACATCCATTACTCTGTCAAAAGCAAAAGTATCCCATATCAGCAGGGTGGAACGTACTCTAGATTTGATGGACTTGTTTTTGACCCTCAAATTCTTCAGTCGGCCTTATACTCTGGAGGAAACCAGAAAACCCTCCAGCTCAGTTCAAGAATAAGCCTGTGGAAAGTTACTTCTTCAAAAGCAAAAGTATCTCATATCATCTCTTCTCATTTTTCTTCTCTTTATCCTTCATGCTGCTGCAAGATGGGGAGAAGGTGAACAATCAGTCGGAGCTCTGATTGCTTACCTTGTCTGTCACCTCTTTCAGCAGACCCCCTAGCTCGGCGACTTGGGGGACTCCTACTACATGGTTTGTATCGCGCTTGACCAAGCCTGAAACTACAAGTAAGCTTCAAGTGAAATTGATACATTACCTTGTGCATCTCCACCAGTTAAAGATACCACCCCTGGATGGAGGAAGAGTACTTCCAGAGAAGATGCCACATCTACCTATGAGACAGATAAGGCAAGTCAAGACGACACCACACTCCGATACTTAGAAGTTTCGTGATTACGAGATCATTCTCCCACAATATTTCCTAATGTCATTTGTACTAAATCATTCACTTGTACTCACTAAAGGAGAGCTTGAACCTATGTACTTGTGTAAACCCTTCACAATTAATGAGAACTCTTCTATTCCGTGGACGTAGCCAATCTGGGTGAACCACGTACATCTTGTGTTTGCTTTCCTATCTCTATCCATTTATATACTTATCCACACTAATGACCGGAGCAATCTAGCGAAGATCACAAAAAGCGACCGTTTTCGCTACCTAGGATCTATCTTGCAAGAGAACGGAGAATTAGATGGAGATCTCAACCATAGAATACGAGCTGGATGGATGAAGTGTTAGAATGCATCCGGCGTGTTGTGTGACCGTCGTAGGCCACTGAAGCTCAAGGGAAAATTTTATAGGACGGCAATAAGGCCAGCGATGTTGTATGGCACAGAATGTTGGGCGGTGAAGCATCAACACGTACACAAAATGGGTGTAGCGGAGATGAGGATGCTTCGTGGGATGTGTGGGCACACGAGAAAGGATAAGATTGGGAATGAGGATATCCGAGGTAAAGTAGGAGTAGCCGAAATTGTAGGAAAGATGAGAGAAAATCGGCTCCGGTGATTTGGACATGTGCAAAGAAGGCCGAATGACGCTCCGGTTCGAAGATGTGACTACGGGACAGAGGTTCAGGGCCGAAGGGGTAGAGGAAGACCTAGGAAAACTTTGGAAGAGACTCTAAGAAAAGACTTAGAGTACTTGGATCTAACGGAGGACATGACACAAAACCGAGCGCAATGGCGTTCTAGGATTCATATAGCCGACCCCACTTAGTGGGAAAAGGCTTTGTTGTTGTTGTTGTTGTTGTTGTTGTTGTAGTATATATGATTTATGACTATATACTATGAACATGTTTTATGATATGATGTTTGAGCTATTGAGCTCCGATGAGATATATTTCGGAAAGATTATGATTTTTGTGCTTATCTAGTGGTCACTATGTGCCTACGTGCGAATGATACAGTTATATTGGCTTCGGCCAAGCGTGTGTAGGTGGCTTCGGCCAAAAGATTTTTATATATGGCTTCGGCCGGGTGTGTGTAGGTGGCTTCGGCTGGAAGAGTTCTATATGCCTTCAGGCAAGAAATGATACCACTACTAAGCACGCTATATACATTATATGTTTAATGAAGGTTTTATGGCATGCTAGGGTTTTCGGAAAACCTATTACATATTATACTATTAAGTTTTTATAAAACCTTGGGGGTTAGTACGTTGATGAATAACTGCTTCAGTTTTACTTATATATCAACTTGGTCCACTCATGTTTTGTTTTGCGCCCCCCTCATAACTTAGAATTGAGGCGTACAATCCCGACGTCAAGGCACTTTTGCATCAGCATCTTCGAGTCCTCTTGGTGTAGGACCCATCCTTTTGTTCATTCAATTTTATATTATTCCTTTTTAGTGTCTCGGTTTAGTTGTATGTTCTGAACACGTTCCATAAATGCATATTCATTATAATTAAATTTACAAGTTTTATTTTTGTCGGTTAATTGTTCTTAGCTCTCATGCATCCTAATATGGCTTCATCACCTTCGGGTGTCGGCCAGCACGTGCCTACCCTGGTGTTGGGTGAATATCATGGTCCGGCGTGTCAAGTATAACGAGTTATACCTCTGACATGCATTTGCATAATGAATTTTCTAGATTGAAAGGAATTAGTGGTCTTGTACAGAAGTTGGTGGAGAAAAAGAGGGATAGACAGTAACCCTTAATGAACTTGCTCGTCAAATGAGTAGTAATTTTACCTATTGCGACTACTTCCATTGAAAGAGCTTTTTTGGTGATGAAGATTGTGAAGAATCCACTTCGTAATAAGATTGGAAATCAGTAGTTGAATGATAACTTGGTTGTCGCGAACAATTACAAATGAACAAACTATCTATTTCTGAAAGCTATTTTTTTATTTTATCGTTGTAAATTCTTGAGTCCGCCACTAACCTAATTATATTTAAAAAGTTCTTAATTATTAGAAAGTTAACAAAGAAACATAGGACCAAATTGATTAAACTGAATTCAAAAGAACAAATTAAAGTGTTTTGGGGCCAACATAAGAAACAAGATGTGTAATTTTCATAAAATATAAGAGACTATACAATTCTTCTGCTCAAACGTTATTGCATTGGGAAACTTAATTGGTTTTATAGTTCAGTCCAAGTAGCTAGCTAGTTGACAGGTTGGGCACTAGACTACAAGTTCCTCTTTGTCCCTTCTTTCCCACTGTTTCCAGGTTTAGATGACTGGACTTCCCTTTCTTTTTAAAATCCTAGAACGAATGATGCAAGGTTATGCAGCTCCTCCCATGCCAATCAAATACAAGTCAAAAGGGTGGAAGGTTGAGAACCAACCATACCCAATCTCAGTATATTCACTGGTCCACAAATCAATAAAGGTATTGAGGAAAGTTTTGAACCTATGATATGATATGATGCATTTCTACAGGTTACGGGTGCATGCACAAACCACAGCTGTGTAGTCCGCTTTATTTTATTTTATTTTGTAAACGAGGAGCGAACAAAGTATTTCTATTCTACAAGTTGAAACCTTTTCATAAAATATCGGTTATTAAAATTAAACTGTTTCTACATGTTCTATCATCCTTACTTTTTAATTGGTAGTCAGGAAAAATTTTGAAGTTCGGCACACAAACACGGCCCCGAATACAGAAAACACCACATACTTATACCTCACCTCCCCCTGTTTTGAGGCCCAGCACATCCCCCACCTTATCGCACTCTCTCTCACATTCACCCCACTCAGTTCCGTTCAGAAGAACCTCATTCCAGACTCATAAGACTCAACAAGCATTGACGCCCAATATCAAATGAAAATCACGCGCCCTTTAGAAGAATTAAACTTAAACCTTCATATACTGTATTCGCATGCAAGTTGAATGTTTCAGCTTTAACTCATTGGCGTGTTTGAAATCTATTATGGTGGTTAAATTTTTGTATGACTTATCTCAAATCTTCATCACTTGAGAATAAAATCTCATCGCATAACTGAAGAAAAAAAAGTCGTTCACCCCTTCAAAATGCATGTATTTACCTTGCTCAGTAACCTCACAGCGTGTTCCAATACTCAAAAGTCCGATGAATTAGAAAGAAAAAAAAATTATTATACATGCACTATATACATCCATGCCAAGCCTCCAAAATTCTTGCAGCAGGACGTAGTTATAACACAAAATATTACATCAGAATGTCCAAATATATCAGAAAAAAAGGTTAAAACCTATTTCGGATGAGGGATCTGATCAGGTGGTTTTCCTAGATTGTAAACATTAACTCCACGTCGCTTCAAGGGAATACCCATATAGTTAATGGCAGTTAGGGTTTGCAACTTTCTTTTGTGAACATTCATTTTCCTCACCTTGCCAAGTCCAAACAATGTCCTTCAGTGCTGGCCTCACATCCTCCTCACAAAACTTAGTGTATTCAAGAGTGTCCCCAGCCAACTGTGAAAACTCTACCACCGCCACCTCCGCCGCCACCTGATACAACTCCGCTGTCACCGCCAACTTCCCTTTCCTCCCCTCCTTTTTCCCCTGCAACTTCACAGTAAACTCCTTTTCACATGCCAATCCGAAATTCAACCTTTCAGCTACCACCTGCAGCTTCGCCATGATTGTGGAGGCGGAGCACTTGGACGTAAACATGGACCCTGATTTCCTCTTGGTCTCAAACATGTTCGACAAGTCGAATCCCTCGGACATTGATGATATGAACTCGAATGCATTTAAAAATGGTGGAGTAGGAATATTACCGCTTCTTGTCCTACCCAAATTTCCAATTTTCTCGCCCTTTCCATTTTTATCATCTTCAATGGAATTTGAAGATGCAATTGACTTAGCAAAATTGGAACCCTTTCGAAACCAAGGGTTCCTCATTATTTGCTGAAAGGAAATCCTCTTTTCCGGGTCAACAACCAAAAGCTTTTTGATCAAACACCTTGCGTCCATAGAAATCCATGGCGGAAATTCATAATCTGCCTTGAAAACCTTGCTATAAGTTCTCATCAAGTTCTCATCCTGAAATGGTAAGTACCCGGCAAGAAAAACGAAGAGAACAACACCACAAGACCATATATCAGCCTTGGCTCCATCATATCCTTTTTTCCTCAAAATCTCAGGTGCCACGTAAGCCGGCGTGCCACATTGCGTGTGGAGCATACCATCACTCCAATGCTGCTCTGGCAACGCTGATAACCCGAAATCGGAGACTTTTAAGTCTCCATTTTCGTCCAAAAGAAGATTTTCAGGCTTCAGGTCACGATGTGATACACCACGACTATGGCAAAATTCAACAGCGCTTACGAGTTGTCGAAAGTACTTTCTTGCCATGTCCTCCTTGAGCTTTCCTTTAGATACCTTGGCAAACAGTTCACCTCCTTTTACATGCTCCATGACGAAGAAGATCTTTGTTTTTGTGGCCATGACTTCTTTTAATTGGACAATGTGGGGATGCCGGACTAAGTGCATGATATAAATTTCGCGCTTTATTTGCTCCATTAGGCCTTCTTTCTTGATGTGGTCTTTGTTTATCACTTTGATTGCTACATTTTCTTTCGTGGCGAGGTTTTTGCCATGGTAGACTTTGGCAAAGGTGCCTTGGCCTAGAAGCCTTCCCATCTCATACTTGTCAAATAGAATGTTTCTTGGTGACTTGGGACTCAACTGCTTTTGCTCCTTTCCCTGCATATTTTCAAATATGAATTTTCTATTGAGAATATAAACGAGAAAGAAATTTTAGTGACTCAGTTTATGCCACGAAACATTAGCGTATCATCCAGAGATGGCGAAGACCCCAGGTCCAGAAAAATGGAAGTGATTTTCCTGGTAAACGGTGAGGGATCGATGATTGGAAGAAAATAATTGAGAAACTGAATTTAGGAGAAGGGAAATTTTGTTAATGCTGAAAATGGTCAGAAGCCCAGTTTAGGAAATGTAGATTTGCACCTGAAAATCCAAAAAAAATATATATATAAAAACAACAACTGAGATAAAGGAAAGAAAAGACAAGAGATTTTTCCGGAAAAACGGTGCAATAATCGGAGGTAATTGTGGTTGTTGTTGGATGATTACAAAGGGTGGTGGATGAGGGAAGGTGGAACACTGGATGAGAAAACAAAGGAAAAAAATATTTGGCCAACAGATAATTGGAAATTAAATCTAACTTGGGTTGGAAACGTGTAAAGCATTTGGGGACTGAAGCCAATGCCTAAAAATAACTTGTGAAGTTTTTGATTGACTGTTTTTAGCTGTAGTGAAGCTTCATCTATGGATTTGTACAACTAGAGGCTAGAGCCCATTATTTGAATGAGCAAACTAACTACACATTCGTGAGGCTGTGCATATATACTACGATATATATTTAAGGAGTTGGAAAGAAAACTTGATTGCCATATATATGATGGCACACTGTATACTGCCATATATATTTTAGGAGTTGGAGATAAAAATTTGCATGTAACAGATTCATGTAAATCTTTCCGTTTCTTTCGCCAATGGAAGGCCAAAAAAGAACGTGAATGAGAGATAGGAAGAAAGTGAGTGCAAGAATCTGCGATAGCTAATGTTATATGCATGTTATATGCAAGCCAAGTCCAACACCATTGCCTCCAACAATTGTCGATGGAGAACTTCCTACAATATCGCTTTATATCGCTTTGGGATGTGATATCCACACACCCCATTTTACTTCTCACATACTTTTTTAATTTTCGGCCGTCGGATCGGATGAGTTGAAGAAGATCAACGGACAAAAATTATCAAGAGGTGTGTGAGAAGTAAAATGGGGTGTGTGGATAGCACACCCCTATCGCTTTATATATAGGAACGGTTTCATTGGGGACTTCTTGACACAGTGTCTCTGTATTATCATTTGGGACTGATAGACATATGAGTCTTTTAAGTGGTGAGATACTCTACCTGATCCCACCGTTTATCGCAGTATGGTCAGCGGGCTCTAATACCTCACTCGGCCTGACATCGCTTTTGCTGTTACTCAAGTGTGTCAATCTATATGTTGTCCTTGCACTTATCATCTTCAAAGTGTCAAATGCATTTATCGCTACATAAAAGGCACCAGACATACATACGCATGTGTGGATTATTGTGGGAAAGAGAAGTCATACTGGCAATGTGGTACTAAAACTACTATCAAACGCACTTAATTAAAACACTTGCATGAATTAGTAAGATGAAGGCTACAAATTAAGTGAACCCTAAGCATGACCAAAGCGGAGAAGCTGATGAGTAGATTTTATTTTATATATTTAACCCTATTTTTGGTATATTTTGGTTAATATTTTAAAAGAATTTAGATACTTTGAATTGTATTTTCATATAGAACTTTTGACTTCTTCTGGAGAAAAACGTGGTCAAATGGATGAAATTTGGAGTAATTCCAGTTGGAGGACGTTCATGAGTTAGTTGGCTTGATCGTATCAAAATATCATATTTTTCCACTAGGCGGTGATTTCCTAGAAATAACATAAAGGAGCAGTGCGAGGTGCTGAAATAGTGATGTTTTGGGCTTAAATTGCGTTTTTGGAGTCCGATATGACATCTGATGGGTTCGTGGCCTTCTGGATATGTGTTCGGAACGTCCTGATCTATAAAACAAGCTATCATGGGCCGGATTTGGAAGATATTTGAGGCTAAAACGTGGCTGGACAAGTACTTGGCAGATTCTCCTAGTTTAATTAGGACTTTATTTTCTAAGATATTTTATTATTACTTTTATTTTCCTAGTTGGAATAAAGGACTTGGTTTCTAGGGTTTGTGCGAGAGCGAGAGGGGATTTTAAGGCTTTTGCCGTTCCTAGTTCTTGTTGGACGCTTCTTTTATTCATTTTGGAGACAGCAGAATTGCTAGGGCTCTTGAAGATTTTCTATTTCAAGGTGTTTTCATTCGTATTCATTCTAATGATATTTTCTTTTATTTTTATTATGAATATACGTGACTAATTCATTTGCTAGGGTTAGGCCATGAACCTTAGCATGAATATATATTTTATTAATTTGCTTTGAATTATTAATCACCGCGATTAAAACTATATAGATATTTTAATGATTGATCACCATTAAGATATTTAGACAAGTGATTTGATGCAATTTCTGTTGAAACATCACCCTGAAATTGAGGAGGACTTCTTGTGATTAGTAATTGTAAGTTCACTTAAGGCGAACATCACGCTCTTAAGGGTTGCATAGTTTTTAAAAGGGTTTTCACAAAGCTTAATGAGTCTTGCATGTTTATATTTGATCTAAACATCACAGACGGATTTCATGTTAGATATACGATTTCGCTTGAACATCACAAGGAAAATATGCATTCGGAAAACCTAACCTTCAAAGCATGTATGTGGAAATTCATAAGTAATTGATAGGATTGCATAGGATTGTGATGGTGACGGCTAAACCCTAGATTTCTCTAAATTGTTAATTTTAAAAACGTTTTTCTTCTTTGCTGCCATTATTTCCAAATTTCCAATTTCTTTTATTGTTTATCTAATCTTTTCAAATTCATAAATCCCAAATCTTTGATAAAATTTGTTTTAATAATTAATTAAGGGTTAGTTTAATTACAAATTAGTCAAACAATCTTTGGGGATAACGACTTTGCATGAGCAGTAATATTACAATTACCTTGTATTCTTACAAGTATTTTCAATGATTTTAACCCTATTCGTGTAGGTACTAAAAATCCTATTAAAAGCAAGCCAAAAATCCATACGTGAAGTAATCATACCACCATATTGCTTTATGCAAGAGACCCAAAACCCGCAGCACTTTTCAGCCAAATCACGTATAAATGGATACAGTACTTTGATTTGGCATTATAAGAATCAAGCATTATTCAGTCCTATATAGAGTTCAAATGGATAGATCATATCACATTTTTGGGTTCTATTAATAAAGATAAAAAAACATATAAACTCACCAAACTACTAAAACAGCAAAGAAAATATAAATTTATTAGATGAAGTGGATAATCCTGAACAGCGGTAAGAGCATGAAAGTCCGGATCCGGCTTCTTTGCCTTCCCACTTCTCATACACTCTCATCCCCTCCTATTTTGTGTGGCCAAGGTTAAATCACGTCAACATATTATATTGATTTTTTTATAGAGATAATAAGACAAAAAACAATAGTAATATAAAATGTTGACGTAGCTTAACCGTGACCGCACAAAATAGAAAGGGATGAGAGTGTATGGGAAGTGGGAGGGTAGAGAAGCCAAGTCCTGAAAGTCCTATAACAATCTGATTATGGGCTGTAAAGCAATATATTATGGGTTGTAAAGCAATATAAAGTATACAGATAAATGGAAGGGTGAGAGAAAGATAGATAAAGAATATTAATGATATATAGAAGCTGTTAACCTAGTAGAAAGTGTAAGGAGGAAGACTTTGATTCGGCCCACTAAACTTGACTTCTTTTCTTTCTTTTCTGGTTTATTTGCTTTGCTTTTTGCTGCCCTCTTTAAAAGACATTTTTTCTATCTCCTCTCTATGCATAAAGATTCATCAATAAGTACAGGTGAAACCAACCAACGTCGTTAAGCTTCGCATTTGTATTTAGCTAGTCTATAATCATAATCATGGGTTTCAATGTATGAGATCTTGTAGCACTTACCAATGAGGTCCTATCGATTAGTATTACACAGAAGAAATCAATTATAGACACTAATATAATTAGATCTGCTCTTCATAGACAATTATTTGATGCAATTAGAATTGTTCACAACAATAAAATGATTATAAAAAAAAATCTACCCACCTCGCAGTATCACGCCCCCCCCCCTTTGCCCCCACCCCGCCCCCGCACCCGCCCCCGACCCGCCCCCGAAATTATTGGTGCGGCGGTTAGGCATCCTTAGACAAAAGAGTGGTCTTTTAGGATTGGTCTGTTGTGTGTCACCACAAGATTTATAACATACTTCAGTATGAGCATGAAACTTACTATACGTGTATGCAACCTTGGAACTTAGAAATGTTAGCAACTTTCATTTGGGATCTTCTCGTTCTACCTTCTCGACTACCTTTCTCATTTTACAATGTCGTTTGATGATCGAAACTGTCCACTTTCTATAAACTACCAATTATAGATCATCTATGCAAAAAATAAACTAAACCGAAATCAAGCCAAACCTAACCAACTATTCGTATGATGAGTTCAAAATGGTTTAGGCCCAGTTTGGTATTACTTTTATTTTTTTAAAACTAAGAACTACTTCAATTTAAAATTATACAATTAAAATAAATAGGCTTATTATAAAAACAATGGCTTCTAGGCACAGTTTTTTAAAGCAATTTGTAGGTTGTTTTTAAAAGTTGCTTTTATAATAAACAAAGTTGAATATTTAATGATTATTATTCAATTCATGTATACCCTTATCAGGTTTTAAAAACAACATTATTTTGTTCTTCTATACACATTTTACCCCTTGGAGAGCAAAATGATCGTCAACACTTACCACTACAAATACTAACCTTACAACACCACCATTGTTGCCGCCTCCACCACCACCACCACCACAACCATAATCGCCACCAATACCACCACAATCATAACCCCATGATTGTCATTGCCACCACCATCGTTGCCGCCGCCACCCACATCGCTACTGCCGACACCGCCACCACCATTGTTGCCACCGCCACCACCACCACCACTAACTACAATTGCGACCGCAACGACAACAACAAACGTCAGCACTGCAACTGATGCTACCCCTACCACCATTGTTCCTCTACACCCTAAGACCAACTCCAGTGGTGGGCTAAAAGCCAAATTACCCCCCAAAATTTCCCCCCAAACCCAATCCAACCCAAGAGAAAATTTTGGGCTAAAAGCTAAATGCTAAATGCTAAATGCTAAACCAAGGACAGATTCTCCCCCCCCCCCCCAAATTTAGCCCAGAAATCGGAATTAAAATTTTTCAATATTTATTAGAATTTAAATTTTTTTTTAGATTAAAATGTTCATAAAATTAATTTACGATAGTCTATATATTTATTTTTTTAATTTAATTTAACAAAAAAAAATAGC